ATTGTTAATTATAGTCAACAATTAATAAATGAAAATACATTTACTTTAGAAGCGATTAAAATATGGGTCGATTTGATGAGAGTAGATAATGATAGATATATACAGATAACTAAATATTACGATATATTCGAGTATGTAATTTTTTTTTTATAAAAAAATTATACAGAATTTTTATTAATTTTTATTTTATTATTATTATTATTTATAGTAATTTAAAAATTAGTGAGGAAGTTTTTAATTATTTGATAAATATGGTAATAGAAAAGGATATAAATTTACCAATGGTAAATATAGAATTTCCTGTCGATTTACACTGTAGTGTTCAACAAAATCAATATATAAATGATCAAATTATGTCACAGGAACAAAAACATCATCAAGACCAATACCATCAACAACTTAATGAATCTTTTGATAATAATAATTGTCACAATAGTAATCTTAATTATAGTAATGATATTAGTAATACATTTTCACCAAAGTCTGTATTTAGTGCATTAGAGTTATCATCAAACGCACAAGTGATGAATGCTCTTGAATTAAGTGTACCTTTTAGTGAAGACGATAATAACGAAGATAATACATTGAGTGCAAGTACAGATAATAGAAGAAATAATATTAAAAATAAAAATAATAAATCCAATACACCATCGGCGTCATCATCAAAACATTCAAATTTAAACGAATCTATATCATCAACAACTGCAGCGGCAATTGTAAATAATATTGATACCAATAATTATAATAATAATAATTTAACCACAACCACCACCTCAACACTATCACCAAGATCAACAGTATCCACTACAACTACAACAACTACAACAACTACAACAACTACAACCACCTCACCAAAATCTCAACAACACCATCATCATCATCATCATCAACAACAATATCAACATAATCATCATAATCATCATCATAAAATTAAATCAAGAAAACCATCAACAATAATAATAAATAAAAAGAAGATTAAAAGTCCAAAGAACAGATCAAGTAGAAGATATGTACAAACAGATCAATATAAATGGTCAACACAAATGATTGGATTACAAATACTATATAGAATATTATTTAATGAAAAGAATATGATTCACTTTTTAAATGATAAATGTATGGCACCTTTGGCGGTTCTATATCCAATATTGATTGGTCGTTTAAAGGCAACCTCAGAGAATGACAATAGTGATGATTTTAAGTTACACTCCATCAGCTGTAAGTTGTTACTATCGATTTTGAATAGAATGTTAGACTTTGAAACTTTGATACCATTGTTTTTCACCAATAAAGTCATTGAATCAATCGCTAAAGTGAATTTAGATCGTGAGCCCATACACGGTAAATTGGGTAAGGATGAATTTGAAGTGTTTGATAGAGTGGTGTTGTTATTAGGTAAATACTTTCATTTGGAACCTTACCATAGTTTAATAGAAAGAAGACCAGAGTGGATAGATATGATCATCAACTACAGTGTCGAGCATAAAGTTGGAATCCTTCATCATGAGATTCATAGAAACGAGGTGAAGATCAACGTTGAGATTTACGATTCACCATTGTGTACGGTCTATAGTGGTGTGTACAATGGTATGGAGGTTGCAATTAAAGAGTTCTCTCAGGATGGTATGGGTTTCGATTGGGTTTCATTCTATAAGGAGATTACGATTGTATCGGCATCACAGCATCCAAAAGTCATCAAATGCTACGGTGCCCACACAAAGAATACCAACAAACCATTCATTGTCACCGAGCTATGTAGTAGAGGCACCATATCGAATGCTTTGAATCAAATCAAAAAATCAACTGGTCAACCACCCGCCATACCATTGATCGTTCATATGGCAATTGATGCTGCTCAATCATTGGAGTTTATTCATTCTAAAAATATAATTCATCGTGATGTAAAAGGAAATAATTTCTTGGTCAATGAAAATTGGGAGGTGAAACTCATCGATTTCGGTGTCTCTAGATTTGTCGAGGCAAGATTGGGTTACACAATCGTTGGTACTCCAAACTATATGGCATGTGAACTTTTCAATGGTCAACCTTATCATCAACCAGCTGATGTTTTCTCGTTTGGCGTTGTTTTGTGGGAAATGTTCACTCAAGATATTCCATATAAAAATCTAACTAGAATTGAGCAAGCTTTGTTTGTTCAAAGCGGTGGTAGACCAACAATTCCTTCAACCGTCCCAACAACCATTGCAAATCTAATCGAAAGCTGTTGGGTACAAACACCTCACCTTCGTCCAACCTTTACAGAGATTCTAAAAGTTTTCTACTCCCTTTTAACTCCTCCACCTGATAATGAACATTTAGTGCCAGTGGTAACAAGATTATTCAATTCCTCAATTATTCAATTGAAAATTTTAAAATACTTAGATACAAACACCCTTCTAAACTGTGGTTTGGCATCTCGTCAACTTAGATATAACCTCTACAATGGTATCTCTATGGAAAAGAAAACCTTTTCAAACTTTTGGATAAAGGTAATGAATTTTTCAAAAAATAAATTTAGAAATGAAATATTATCGCCATCAGAAAGAAAAAATGATTCAGCTGGTAGTTCACCAATTATTATGTGTATTCAACCATTTTCACCAACATCTCAATCAAAGAATAATAATAGAAACAATAATAATAAATATAATAACAATAATAATATTAATAATAATAATAATAATAATAATAATAATAATAATAATAATAATAATAATAATAATAATAATAATAATAATAATAATAATAATAATAATAATAATAATAATAATATTAACAATAATAATAATAATAATCATACTGGCATTAGTAATGACTATGATGCTGTTGCCGATGACGATGGGGAATATGTATATCCATCACTAGTAATTCCATTTTCAACCACTTCACCAACTCTTGATATAAATAGTGATAAAAACAACGATAGTGATGATAAATATTCTGATACAAGTAGTAATAACACCAACAATAACAATAACAATAACAATAACAATAACAATAACAATAACAATAACAATAACAATAACAATAACAATAACAATAACAATAACAATAACAATAACAATAACAATATCAATAGCAACAATAACAGTAACAACGGCAGCAACGATAATAATAGTTGCCCAAAACAAAATCAATTTTTAGGGAATGATTTAAATAAAAGTCAAGATCATACTCAGCCAATGTGTGGTATTAGTGGTCGAAGAGATAGAAGTAGAAGTAGAAGTAAAAGTAGAAGTAGGAGCCCATCAAACAATCATCTTCATGATAAAAGTTTAATGGGTTTATTATCTTCTTCTCAAACTAGTGAAATTGGTGATAACAACACAAACAATAATAGTGACAATGAAATTGATAATCATAACTATCAATCAATTGAAAATAATACCAATGATGCTGTTGAACAACAAAATACCAATATTAGTTCCAATACTAATACTAATACTAATAGCAATAATGAACAACAAAAAAATAGTAATATTACAAACAATATTGTTAATCCAAATGTTTTTACAACCACAACCACTACCACAACTACAACTAGAACCACCACAACAACTGTTTATGATGGGACAGCTTCATTAAATAATCTGTTATTCAAACTCAATGATGGTGGAATAATATCTTCAGATTCTTCAAATTCATTATCGGATCCAGAGAGCGAAGAATATTCAATGCCAATAAAGAGAACTTCAAGTGTAAGATCACCAGGTCCAATATCTGCTATCTCACCTCTTTTTAAAAGTTTATCTCCAAATTTAAGTCCAATTGTACCAAATATAATTAATGGCTGTTCTTTTGAAAATACAAGTGCTTGTGATTAATTCAAATATTTTTATAATAATAACTTCAAAACCAAATAAAAAAATAAAAAAAGTATATGGAGCAGTTAGATATTTATAAAGTCTTTTTTTTTTTTTCTATTTTTTATTTTTATTGTCTTTTTTTTTTACTCCACCGCCTTGAATACCACTTTTTGTGGCCATTTTACAAACTATTATTTGTGGTATATTCATTGTTTGATGTGGTTTTAAAGATATTAAAAATATTTTAGTATTATTTGAATATATTTTTTTTTTAAAAAAATATGGAAAAGGAAATATTAAAGATTAACAAGATTTACAAATCGGGTTTATTTATTTATTTGTTTGATGTGTTGTTTGATTTATTTATTATATGTTTGGTTGTATCACCATCATCAACACCGAATTGTTGTGCTTACATCAAATTAGCGAATTTGGGGTTTCAACTAGACCTGGTGTAATTGGTGCTCTATTTGTGGCGGTGTTGTTGTTTGTAGCAGTGGTAGTGGTTGTTGTTGTTGTTAAAATTGATATTATGGCATCTGGTTCTCTGAAAGCTATTCTTTTGGTGTCACCAACTAATTTAAAGGGGACCCCCTCTTTGTTTAAGAGTATATTGGTCAATTTAACAAGTTTTGATAACTTAGCACATGCAATGCTACTTTTGTTGTTATTATTATTGTTGTTATTATTATTAACTGATGTGCATGTGTTTCCACCATAAAGTGATTTCATACCCAATACTGTTTGATTCAATGCATCTTGCACACCGACATCTTTTCTTAAAGCTTCACCAGCCTCTCTATATTCTATTGTGTATTTAAACAATAATTTTTTAAGTTGTTCACCTCTTTTGATTGTTGACCATTGTCTATCTATGTCTTTCATTTGTTCAGATAAAGTTTTCATCACTTTAATTGGTGCCTCTTTCTTTTTTTTATTTATACCTTTAGCCATTTTTTTGTGCGGATAAAAGAAAGTAGATAAAAAAAATATTTTTGAATTTTTCATAATACCAAAAAAAAAACAGATATTAAGAAAAATTCTTTGTGGTAAAGTTTTTTTTTTTTTTTTTTTTAATATTAATGATTATTGTATGACCTTAGTCTTAACAATAATAAAGTTTATCAGCGAGTAGGAATCGAACATCGTGTCTGGTAGGTCATTAATTTCAAGGAGCATAAAAAATTTTATATGAATCAGTCAATTTGTCATAGGTTATAATCAGGATGTAATCATCTGAAACACATGAAGTAATTCTCATCATCTTGCATATAATTTTTGTCGGAAACTAAAAAAACCGACAGGAGTTATTTCTTTTTTTATACAGTTTTTGTTGAAATTTTTTTTTTTTATGGGTTTTTAGAAAAAAAATTGTAAAAAAAAAAAAAATATATATTTGAATTCCAAAACTAGTATAAATAAAATCATTAAAATTAATTTTAAAACTATTTATTTAAAAAAAAAAAAAAAAAAAAAAAAAAAAAAAAAAAAAAAAAAAACAAAAAAATATAAAAAAAAATCAAAACTCATTTTTCCCATCCACATTAATATAAGAAAATCAGAATTAATTCAAAGAAAGAACATATATATATATATATATATATATATATAAAGAAACTATAATGTCATCAATATTAAAGAGTAGCACTGGTAGTGTCCATAGTAATAATAGTAGTAATCACAGTAGTATTAATAATTTAAGTCAACTTAGTGGATCTCATGGTGTTGAACAACAACAACAACAACAACAACAACTTAGACCAATATTAACATTAGATGCATCTACAGCAAAATTAATGTATCAAACTAGTCAAGAAATGTCAAGCTATATACAACAAATTGCAAATGAACCTACAATTGGTTTGTTTCATGTTCAAGATCATATAAGAAGAAATATACCTAAAAACGTTGAATTAAAAGTAATTATTATTATTTTACAATATTTATAAATGAATGGATCTATGCAATAATAAACTGTTTGTATATAAATTTATATTTACATTTAATTTTATAAAAAAAACATTAGAAAAATATTAAAGCGTTGGGAGAGAAAATAGAAGAGAAATCATTTGACATAGATTATAGCACTAAAACAATAAAATCTTTCTCAGAGATTCAAACATTCTCCAATATATCTTCATTGTTACAACAATCAATTGAAAGAGCTAATAAATTAGTGAATAGGTATGTTGGTCTTTTAAAAAAAACACATCCAAAAAAGAGAAGAATAAAAATAAAAATAAAAATAAAAATAAAAAAAAGTATTTTATGTATTAACATTGTAATCTTTGTCATTTCCAAAAATAGTAAATCACTTTTATTTGTAAATTCTCAAATGGCTGCACCTTCTTCTTCAAAAACATTTTCATCATTTCAACAACAACATCAAATTTACCAACAACAAAATAATTTAACTCCTTCAAAATCAAATTATTCAACACTTTCAAGTAATAATAATAATGCAGAACAAAAAAATAATATGGATGTAAGTGAAAAAATAGAAAAAAAAAAAATAGAAAATGAAGAAAAAGAGGATATAAATATAAATGAAAGTGATGAGCACTCTAAAGATGAGAAAATGTAAAATAGGTATAATTTTTTAAAAATTCAGACATCTTTATTTATTTGTGTTGGATATTTATTTTTTTTTTTTTTTTTTTATTTGTGAAAAAAATAAAAAAATAAAAAAATAAAAAAAAAAAAAATAAAAAAATTAAAAAAAAAAAAATTGTATTACGGTTGCAAATTAACTGATAATTCTCTTAAAAATCTGGGATGTTCAATTGTTTTTTTTTTATTTTTTTAATTTTTTAATTTTTTTTTTTAATTTAGTTTTTTTTATATATATTTTCGCAATTTTTTTGAAAAAAAAAATTTTAAAAATCACAAAAAAAAAACCCAAACAACAATTAATAAAAATAAATAAATATTATAAAAGTATGTAAAACAGGTTTTATTTATTATTTTTCAGGGGATCAATTATGAAATTATTTTTAATTTTTTTATATTTAGTATGGCATCAATCAACCCAAGTTTGTATAACGACAATGGCGCTTTTTGTTCCAAAGTGGTCGTCACAAAAACAGTAAAAATCAAATTGGAAGAAATAACAGAAACTGTACATAGACTCGCTGCATCAAATAACGGGGCTAATTTTGATTACACACTACATAACAAATGCTAGAAAAAGATTTAAGGCACATTTAAATAAAAACCCACAATGGTACCCAAAGGTGGGCGATACTGCTGCCATTTTTTTCGCGAGATCAGACAGAGTAGATTGGGATGTCAAAGCTGAAATTGATGCGGCTATATTATTTACACAACGTCAATATCCCCATATCGAAATAAATTACGCAATTTTGACACCTGTTAACAACTATGATATTGTGGATATGAATCTTCTTGCCCAGTTGTTTGCCGAAAAAGATTTACCACCGCTACCACCAACATCACCACCAACATCACCACCATCATCAAAATCAAAATCAAAATAAAAAAAAACATCTTAACAATACAAGCTGCTGCCCCCATCGAAACACAATTGCCGGTGATAAAATTCGTGTATATAAAATTATTAAATAAACAAACAAATTAAAATACAACTCTTTTATATAATTTTTTTTTATATAATTTTTTTTTTATTTTTTTAATTTTTTATTTTTTTTTTTTAAATTTAGTTTTTTTAATATATATTTTCGCATTTTTTTGAAAAAAAAAATTTTAAAAATCACGATCACAAAAAAAAAACTCTTGCAACAAATAAATAAAATAAATAAATAAATAAATAAATAAACAAATAATTTTTTTAAAAAAAAATCCATTATTTTTTAAAAAAAAAATGATAATACACAGAGAAGATCAAGAAGATATTTATTTGTCGGAGAGCGAATTTCCATGATAGATGTGTCCATAATAAAAATAATAGAATTAAGAAACAATACTACATACGGACCCGTGTTAGATGGAGAAACGGGTATATTTACTCGTACAGCGGGACTATTACACAAAGACACAGAGAAACCCTTCACCAATTTTGATCATAGATTATTCGATCGCTTTAAAGAAATTCAAAAACAATAATATGAAAAATTATGATAACGATAAAAACGTTTAAAAAATAAATAAATAAATAATAAACAATACTCTTATATAAGAGTAATAAAATTAAAATAAAAAAAATATATTTTAAAAAAAAAAAAAAAATTTTTTAATTTTTATTCTGTATGTACTATGACCGACCGGTAGGTTTTGAATAAAATTTATTTTTAATTTATGTTGATGCAACATAAAAATTTCCATTATTTGGGTTTTTCATTGACTTCACTATCTTCATCTTCAGATTCTACTTCATCTTTCGGTACAAATTTACTTTCTCTCATTACATGATTTAAGTGTGATTCTATAAATTTATCTTCTGGACGTTCACCATTGGAAGTGTATGCCATAAACATACCAAACGTTAAATAATCATCATCCTCCATAGTGTGGGGGATTATTTGATATTTATAATACTTTATGCCCATCCTAGCAAATTTGATAAGTGATTTATATTGTTGAATCATAAACTTTCTACACCCCTCCGTGCAACCATTGTAAAGGGGAGTAACTTCGGGTCTAACTAAAACAGTAAGCTTATCCCAGTCATACACCCCAAAAGGTATTTCATGATATCTATGACCATTACATGGATTTGTTTCACTTGGTTCCATATATTTTTGTGTTGATGTGTTTTATATATTCAAAAAATTGAAATTTAAAATATATATTTTTTGTTGAAGTGTTTAAAATTAATTTTGTAAATAAAAAGATGAAAATTATTAAAATTAAATTTTTTATATATTAGTGGGGTTTGTGTGGTGTGTTAAAAAAAAGTTGGTAAAATGTCTATTTTTTTTGTTTTTGTTTATTTTTGTCTGTAGCGGTAGCTAAAGCCTTAGCGATAGCGGAAGACAAAGATAATTGTTGAGAGGCAAACGAGTTTTGGGAAGCCGAAAGAAGTTGATCTTCATCTTCGTTGCCATCCAAACCAAATTCACCATAATCATCCTCGGGAAAACTGATATTTGATGTTGATGATAATGGACTTATACTACTGAGGCTTGAAAATTGTAAAGCATTTGTTTTTGGTGCGGCAGTAGTAGTGGTAGTAGTGGTAGTGGTTTTTGTTTTTTCTTTGATTTCATCGATGTCTTGGGTTAGATCGATAATAACCTTTTCCACTCTCTCATTAATGTTCTCCACTTTCTTATCCATATCAGAAAAACGAGAATCGATACGGTTGGATAAACCTTCGACCAAAGTCTTCATAAAACCCGTAAGGGAATTGATCGTCTTTGTTGTGGGGGACGATAAATCACAAATCTCTCTATCGACCGTAGGCGGTACGACGGTAGAAGTTTCGGTGGGATTTTTTTCGTTTTTATCTTTTTTATCCTCTTTGTCGGTTTTTTTAATTTTCTCTTTAGTGGATTTCTTTAATAGTCTACTTTCTTTTTTATTTTTACAGAACTCACAATTTTCTATAAATGTATTAATGAGATTATAGAAACCAGGGGCATAAAGATTATACTCTTTACGGAATTTTTCATTCATCACCGATGTTGACCTATGTTTTGCGGAATGAATAGCCTCCAATGCTCTTATAAAATCTTTATCGGATACTATATGCAACACCGCAACCCTTTGTATTGGTTCACCTTGTCTAATTCTGTATCCTAGAAAGAAATCCCCATCTAAAACATCCATATCTAAAACAGCGCTGGTTTTAGCTAATATAATATTATTATCAATGATAAAAGTAATAATTTCTTCATATCTATCTATCGGTAATATATCTCCTTCTTTTAGAGCAACCATCGCTTCTTCTGAAAAACCCACGGTCGCTAATTGTTCTTCATTATAAAGCCCGATGGCCTTTAAATATTTTAATGCTCTGTATGTTAATTGGATCGTCAAAGGTATATATTTTGTTGGAGGGTATAGTATTCATATCTCCTAAACCCATGGTTGTATATATAATTCCTCTATTTATTTTGAAAATTTTTTCTTTTATATACATTTCTCCAAATTCTTAAAAAATAATCCATTATTTAAAAAAATTATAATATTGTGTTACCAAAAAAAATATAAGTGTAAAATATATAGTGTAAAAATAAAGTGTAAAAAATAAAGTGAAAATATATGGTGTTAAATTTATAATGCTATTAAAAAAATAAAGTGTTGAAAAATTTTTTTTTCAAAATTTCGAAAAAATTAAAATA